GATATAAAATTACTATTACTTTATGTATGTTTCTACGAATAACTATTGGAACAACTACGTATAAACAATAAATTACAAGCGAGATGTTTGCATCACTTTCACGTTGAATTTTCAGTAATCGTGAGAGACAGAGGTAAATTCAAAGTCACGCAATTTGTCGGTATTGTGACAAAGTTAAGCAAATCTTTCGCGTCCCGGGCGTCAATGAAAGGGAATTAAAATTAATGTCACACTTACAAGGTTTCGGTGTATTCCCAGGGGTGAGATTAGCAGATACATTTGCGAATTAATCGCGCGATCGAGCGTTCCAACAGCACGACGATCCTCTCGCGCACTACGACCCTGTACAACGCGAAATGTAATGAGTTCGTGGAAGGGGTTGGTCCCGAAGGAATGGATCGATGTTTCCTCTGCGTACTAAAGGACGCCTGTTGATACGCGGCAAGAGCGTTTTCATTCATGAAAACGATGAAACAGCGCGAATCTCGTCTCGCTGCTGTGATCGCAATTATATTTCCTTTCACCATGTTATCTTGATATGCAAATGCGATTTTTTGAATACAATTCTGCAGTTGTCACTCGGGATGATATATCATGTGTTTTCTAGAAAAGATTATTTTTACATTACATTTTTAATTGCGGAAAAAATATCGGGTGCGATCTAGAGATTTCCATGCAGAAATCGACTACATATATAATTTTAAAAATGTTTTCTCAGACAATATGCCTGTATAAGAGCCAGTCTCGCCAATTCCGATTAACCTAATTGTTGATTAAGTATCAACTGTAATTGATCAATTCTGCTGAACAGCAATTGGTCAGTTCCAATATAACAATCAATCGATTAAGTTAAGTTTGGAATTGATGAGACCGGTCCTAAATGACATTATAAAGAATCTTTTAAGTCTCTTAAAAACTTTTGGAACTTATATGTCTAAAAAATATCTAAAACACATCATAAAGGCATCTTCTATAGACATTGCGTGTTGTCTGAATTGACAAAAGAATAAAGAAAATCTCTTCCCTGGTGAAAATGAAAATTGGAATGTAAAGTGGCGTCTACAATGAGATTTTAAAGTGTAAAATTTAAGTTTCAAGCTTTAAGCCATAAGAAATTGACAACTCACAGCTAATTATTCTCCTTATATTCGATTATGATTAGCTAATTTTTTACGGCTTAAAATTTCATTGCAGACATCGTTTAAGTCAAAAGAAAGAGTGACAGTAGGATAAAGACGGAACTTTTAGAAACCAAAAATTGAAACAACATTTAAAAAGCGTGAGTGTTTTTTTTATGTTTCATTGTCTCAATTTTCTTCACTTCTTAGAAGCCTCTATTATTATTTTCATTTATATTCTACACTGGAAAAAAATGTGCTAAATCTTAATGCAGCATATTTTTTCGAATAGAACTAAATAAACATTTACTTACAATAAATAAATATTTACTCAATTAAAAAAATAATGATTAAATCAAATGGTTTTTATATCATGAGCATTAAAAAATACATTAATGAAAGTACTTCCCATCACTTGTAAAACGCTACGAATTAATTCCAACACCTAATATGTTTATATTTAGCAAATTTATTTAAAACTATTCCTTAAAAAAAATATTCATTAAAATTTAATATTTTTTTTACATTTTTTTGCCAGAATTTATTACTGCATGTAATGTCCCGAAAAATCATAATCCTGAAAACTGAAAACTAAATGTCCCGAAATGTCAAATTATCGAAATTTAGACAGTGAGCTTCGAAATCGGTCATTACTGTTTATGGACATAGTGCTGATGCTAATTTATTAAAAATATATTGTAATGTAACAACAAATTCATATTTTCTTTTTTCCATAATAATGCACACAAAAGGTATTTCCTTTAATAGAAAATATATATTAGAAAATAATTATATGTAAAAGAGTCATAACTTTTATGTTTATATTAATTATTACAGATATATATATATATAAAAGAAAATGAGATTACTTTCCTTTTGAGAAAACACAATCAATATAAATATCGTTCTATCTTTGTTATTTATTGACCAAAAAGGATAGAACGACGTTCAGGTCAACTATATCTCCTAATTAAAAAGAAATATATCCCCCAGTGAGAAATGATAATGGAATCGACATAGATTTCATTGTCATTTCTCACTGGGATATCGCTATTTTCGTTACGTACAATAATTTTAACTTTTATATTCTAATACGTATAATGATAAACAAAAGTTCATTCCAAGTTTGCTACTTACAACTCAAAGATTACCCAATCATATGCGCAAATTACCAGATTTACCTCACAGGTAAATTTACTAAAAGGTGGAACAACCGGGATCGATAAAAAATACTGAAAGATTACAAGATTTTCTTACTTGATATGTACAGATTCGTGATCATAGCTTTTTATTGTTTGAAAATATAGTCATTATTGATAGAAACCTAATTTCTCCTTGTTTGGCTCCGAAATTTCTTGAATTCTTGGCTCAAAGATGCCTGTTTCTTATTTGGAAACGAAATCAGCCTCCATTTTCTTTTTATAGCTCCTGCTTCCTTATAAACAGAGATCGTTATAGCCAGAACGGAAAGGCGGGAACTGTACACTAAATTATTAAGATTCTTTGAAATCTAAATGAAATGATTATAAATATGGAATGAGCAAAAAGAATGAAAACTTGATTTCGGATCATCTAGCGCCATCTATCGTATCCAGATTGTAATTAATTTCTCCGTTTAATTAGAGATGCTATAAGAGATACCATAGAGATACTATAAATTAGAGAGACTATAAAGATACTAATTTCTTCGTTTAATTAGAGATACTTTTATTACAATATCTCTACGTTTATCGTACACTAACGTCCTCTCACGGTAACCATTCCAACTTCAATATGAAATAATGATGGGAGGGGGGAAGACTTGAATGATAAATGAATAGACCAATCACGATCGCCATCGCTATGGGGAATAGGAATTTTCGAGGATGCTAAATCACGATTGGTCGGTTCCGTTTAATGACAAGTGTTTCGTTGCTGTCCTTTTTTTTACGCGTTAAGGTGCTCTTGAGAGATTCTCGATTTTGCTCTTATTTGTGAAGCAGATAAGCTTAACGTTCGGAATACTTTGCGCTGCACACGCAAAATTACTTTTATCCTCCGGTCGACGCTTCTCGCCGTTTTTTCCCCAGGAGTTCAGCGATTTTAGAATTACCGCGGAGTGACAAAAGTGACGTTTCCTTTTGTTTTGATCGAGCTTCCACGTCTCATGTTAATCAGCTGTTGCGATTTTTTGAAAGATTGTATCGGATAGAGCATAATGTTCTAAGTGTTTTAACTTCTATTGAACTTCTATCTGAAATTGGTCAAGTTGAATCTTCGGAAAACAATGAATTTCCCAGAGAAAGGACTGGATAGCCTACTCAAGGAAGAATGGGTATCGAAACTGGAAGAGAAGACCTATATACAAAAAATGTCAATGAACAACATGATCATGAATTATCTAGTCACAGGTAATGAATTCTAGAATCTATTGTAATCTAAATGAATTGTCGAGGTAATAAAATATTTCGATGATTAGAAGGATTCAAGGAAGCTGCTGAGAAGTTCCAACAGGAGTCGGGAGTAGGTCCGACGGTGGAACTGAGCACTCTGGATGATAGAATCCGTATTCGAGACGCCGTACAAAATGGTCATATCCAGGAAGCGACAGACTTGGTGAATCAGCTGCATCCTGAATTGTTGGACAATGACAGATATCTTTACTTTCACCTGCAACAGTTGCACTTGATTGAACTCATACGCACAGGCAGAGTCGAGGAGGCGCTTCAGTTCGCCCAGGATCAACTCAGCGAAGCTGGCGAGTCAGATGATAATATATTGTGCGAGTTGGAACGTACATTGGCACTGTTGGCTTTTGATGAACCACATAAGAGCCCGTTTAGTGATCTTCTACATCCCACACATAGACAGAAAGTGAGTATTATCAAGGCCATGGCATACAGAAAAACTTGAACAGTAAGACATAAATAATAAAGGACTGTCTGCAAAAGAAGTAAAATAGTGCAATAAACTGTAAGTCTTAAGGAATTGATCAATCACAGTTAAATGTGAGCAGAATAATCGACTATGATTAGTAATTTTTTACAGTTTATAGCTTACTGCACAATAGGATCTATTCTTTTTAGCTAAACTTTTTGCATGATTCATCTTTTCTCTTTTTCTTTCCAACATGAAGAAAAAAAGAAGAAAGATGTATCACTTCATCAGAACTTTAGAAGAAAGAACTAAAAAGAACAGATCTAATATTATTCCTATTGTAGATGATCCATAAATAAATCAACAAATGTTAGATTCATTATTGCTTAGATTATAGCCTAGTTTTTATTGTGATTGGCCAATACACTTACATTCTATAATAAGCCTTGTTTTTTGCTAACTTGATCTTGTTATTTCCTGATTGTTGTGCCTGATTATAGATTGCAGGCGAATTGAATGCTGCTATATTAAAAATGGAACATAGGGAATCTAGCAGTCCTCGTCTTAATAATCTGTTGAAGATGATACTATGGGCTCAAGAGGAATTAGATAAGAAAAAAGTAAAATATCCGAAGATGACTGATCTAGGTAGTGCCACAATTGAAGATACAAAATAATTTTATAGTAGACAGACTGAGAACAGTTCTCAGCCTTATTTATAAATGCGATAAATGAAATGTCTTAAATTGACCTTTAAATGTAATTTTGTGTAAATTGCTATATTCATTTTGTAGGAAATTATATCCGAATTTTAATCTTGTATAACAAATTAGAGAGAAAGATGGTGTGTAGAATCATTAATCTATTATAATAAGAATGTAATGATTAAATTGATACATCGTTGTTACAATTACTGTAAGTGTAAGAGATAAGAATGCTTATTGCGATTATTTCTTGTTTTTTGGAATGTAATGCTAACATAACAAGTAGAGGTATTTTCAGACTTCATGTACATGCAATATTTACTAGGAATAGACACGCAATATCACGCGCAAATTAAGACTTGCATATGACTCCGGCTATTAGCCTATACAAGATAGTATAATTGTAAAGATACATACAAATATAACATGTGATAATATGCATATTACAATAGTCTTAAAAAAGTGGACAGCCTTCACAGAAACGCTCTTATAATAATGATTTTCAACATTATAGAAAAATTTATTTTTAGGATAATAGATAATAATTTTGTTTAATCTTTAAGTTAATGTTCCGCTTAAAAGTTTCCTTCCAAAAGATTAATATATTGTTTATCATAGTTTCCTTTCTACAATTTTTAATATATTTTCAATATAAAGAGTTCAATGTATAATTATTACTAAAAAAAAAAACAACTACCAACCGAACACATATTCCATTGCTTTTGAAACTAAACTGGCCGACTTTTGTGGAACATTTTCCGGCATCTGCGCGGCTTGTGGGCTAAAATGTTGATTATAACCCGCTGCTAAAGATCTCAGTTTTCGTCGTCTTGCGGTAGGTGACGAGTTAAAGGGAGATTGACTGATTCTGCCCATTGAAAGCGATCTCATACTTCCGTTCAGCTTGGCACGGTTTTCTTTGTCGCAACCCAGAACGACGCCCTCGTCCGTACATGGTATGACACCAATCATAATTGTGCCCGAAACGATACTACCATTGCACATGAGAGCCTTTTGCGCTTCTTGCTCTGATGCACACTTCAAATGTATCCAGTTGCTTTGAGGTTGTGGAGCTGGATGTTTATCCACTATACGAACTCTGCTGGAGATGTGAGACAGAACGGCGTTGACATCGATAGGTAAGAAACCGAAAACAGTTACCCATTGCAGTAGACTTTGCGATTCGCTTGTGCTCAAATTGAACGAACTATCTGGAAATATCAGTGGACTAGTTAAAGTACTCATCATGAGTTTGGACTGATTTATAGGTGTGGCTGTGATAGCCGGATTTGTGACTGCCACAGATGGTGACATATGCGTGACTTCTAGAGTGTCGAATAGTCCTCGCGTTGGCGGACCTCCGGTGTGATTTTTTGTGCTTATTTGTGGCGTGCTAGGAGTCGTAGATCCAAACACCGCCTTCTGACGATTAGACCGGTAATCCGGAGAACCATAGGAAACTGGTGACATCACACTGGTATTGGTTAGGTTCAAATGGCGTGGATTATCTTGAGGACTTATTATGTTGATCTTTGCGGGCTAGAATTTTTAAAGAGAGATGTTAGCAATACAGACTTGTATTTTTCAAATTAATAATAAAATGTACTTCTCACAGTATTAGTGTCACCCAAGAGAAAACTTGGCAAATACGAGGAAGAATTTCCTGGACTACCAGGGCTTTGAACAGGACTATTCATCGGTGATCCTAGAGTCATAGGCTCCATCTAACAGAACGATTAATTTTCTAAGACTTGATTAATATAATAAAAAAATTTTTTTCTATTCTAAAAAATTAACACAAAATAGATATTATTTTATATAGTGTAAAAATATTAGTGCCAATCTAAGAATAATCTAAACAAATTTTTAAAACTTCTATAAATTCTAATAATTCTTATCACATATATATATTTGAATTATTTCAAAAAATGTTTTATCTCCGAAGTGACAATTAATTTTATAAAACCTGAATAATATTTTGGAATAATATTAACAAAACTCTATTCTATTTTTTCAAAAATTAACACAAAATTATTATTTTTTACAGAACGGAAAGTTTTTTAAACTTTTTAGGTTATTTTTAAATAGGCACTAATATTTTGAATAAATAACTAGACGAGCTTGAAACATTTCAGTCATATTATATTTGGATTACTTACGACCTCAAAAAATGTTTTATCTTCTAATGTTTTGTAACTCCCTAAGTGCTACGATAAATGATATCAGTTTTTCGGGAGGAAAGACGTTTTCGTTTTTATCTACGTAAAGAGGGCTCTGGGAGTCAGCTGGAAAACGGACGGACGGGTGGGCGCGCGCGGAGCCGAACGACGAACCCTCAACTGCCCCCAACCTCGATGGATCTTTGATGACGCCATGATCTACGTCGCCGTGTTGCACAGCCGCGGAACGTGTAGGCGCGGATCCAGCCAGCCAGGCCCCCTTTTTTAATTATGAGTACCATCGGCCGCGGGTCCTTCCTCCGGACGTGAACGCATCAACGACCGCCGTCTAATCCGGTAATCGCTCGCATCCCGTAACGTCCGTCCGTCCGTGCGGATCGCACTCTTGACGTCGCGTAGAGAGCAGCGATAAAGATAAAAAGCGGCTGCCGAGGTGTGTGCCCGCGTGAAGAGGAACACGGCCCTCTTCTCAGTTCTCTCCCGCACGCGTGTACGCGTGTGAGCTCGCCGTGAGAAAAATCTAATCCGTGGACCCGAGGAATTCATTGGGATTCATCAGCGGGGGTCCGCACCGGTCGCCCGCGCGACCCCCCTGGGGGGAGGGCTCCGTTGACTCCTGGATCATCTTCTCTACCTGCGCTCCGAATACGGAAACGGGCGATCCCTCCTCCCTCCCCCGGCTCTCCCCCACCCCCCAGCGAATGACACATCTCGGTGGAACGAACCGAAATCGTAAACCGTAAATAATAGCCGTCAAATTAGAGATAGATTTCGTAGATATATATCTGTCGTATCGCGATATGTTTGACACTTTCCTGTTGACAAATCTATATTTTATATATGTCCCTCTTTCTCTTTCCTGTATTAAAGTGAAATCAGTGTTACATTTTTGGTTATTTTTTGCAGGAGGATAGCAAGAATGTCTGTGCCACCTCCGCCACCGCCTCCACAGGCTGGCGCTTCTGCTGGCCCACCGATGGGCGATAATAGAGGTTTATTACTACAATCTATAAGAGCAGGCAAAACTCTGAAGAAGACTGTTACTGTGGATAAGAGCGCACCTGCAATCGCTGGTAAATTATCGGAATTAAATTATATACACTAAAGGCAGTGTTCATAACTTCATAGAATAGCATTCATAATTGATTCTTATATTTAAGACTATCTTAAATGCAGTCTTCAGATGTCATAAGCTAATCAAAAGACTGTATCAGCATCTTAAGACATTACTTAAGATGCTGATCTTAAGACATTATTAAAGAATTACTAATACCACCCATAGTCCGTTCTTATTTTAAATAATGTTTTAAGATAGTCTAAGAGGTTAATACAATTTTGTGGCCAATATCCATAATTTATTTCAAGTCTTAAGTAATAAAAATCATCATCGTCTCTAAAGATGTTTCTATGCATTCTATGATTGATTCACAACTTGAAATTACTCTTACAAGACAGTCTTAAATATAAGAATCAATTATGAATATCAGTTCGAGCAAGAGCGTATGATAGACAATGGTTGACTATTGTTATTTATGGAAAATCCTTGGCAATACATGTAATTGCACATACAATATAATTTTAATTGTTTTTCATATATGATACAAGAATTTTATCTATCACTCAAACTTTATCTATCACTTGCTCGCATCTTGAATTTTCCAGTAAAAGACACAGTAAAATTAATAACTGTTGTCAGTGTCATAATAAAGAAATTAATGAAATGATTCACTGTTGAAATGATTTCACACTGGCTGTTTTCCTTTTAAGAGATACAGTCGATGTAAGCATCATTTTATTTGTTATTCATTAAATACCAAAGAAGGATTCATTGAATACCAAAGAAGGATTCATTGAATACCAAGAAGAATAAATTAATTGATGTTTGTGTCAACTATGTTTCCAAAAGGAAAGCAGCCAGACTAATGCAGCGAATTATTTCATCTTCGTTTAACATTGGCAAACAACAAGGATATTTCACTGTGTTATATTACACAGTGTCATCTGTTTCTTGATAAAAAAGCACCTTAGGTCTGCATACAACTATTAAATTCCAAAGCAAAAATGTATAAAGCAATTGTTGTGAAAAACCAGGAACTATAATGAGAAATATTTGTTTTGCAGGGAGAATAAAAGGCGAATCATCGAGCTCTTCGTTAAGCAATAATAGTAGAACTAATAGTTCTAATGCAATCAGCAGCAGCAGTTCTAATTCTAGTAATGGTGGGCCCATGTCGCTCGGCGGTTTATTCGCGGGTGGTATGCCAAAATTAAAACCTACAGGACTGAGAGGACACATGTCCGAGAAAGAGAGACAAAGTGTAAATAATTCTAATTTTCTTCACTCGTCACCCGGGTCGTCCCACAGTGTAAAACGCGGCCCGCCACCAGTTCCGCCACCAGCCGCGCAGAAACCGCAGTTATTCAGTCAGGTAAAAAACGATCTGTTTAATCGGTTCTTACATATATCGTTCATATATCTGTAAAAATGTTTAATTTCGCACAGGGGCAAAGCAGCACTGATTCCGGGATGAGCACTCCGGAGATCACGCCCAGAGGATTCGGGAAATCAACCATTGTGCCTAAACCAGCGTCGTCTGCCACCTTGCACAAACCATCGCCGCCGCCTAAAAAGCTGAATTTAACGAGTAGCGCGAGCGTGGCGAGAGCACAAAGCATGCGATTACCGCGATCGCCACCGGTTCTGGTGCCAACAACACCGTCTTCTCTGCACCAGTCACAAGATTATTTGAATGAAGCCACCACGCCACAGCCCATGAGACCTGCGAATCGAATTCTCAGGCCTCCCGTGACGAGGCCACCGTCACCGCCGATCTCGCGAACGATCGTGCCTATGATGAGACCACCATCGCCGCCAGCACCACCGGCTTCGCGGTCGCATACGTTGCCCGTGACAGCCATGAGAGCGGCGCCGCCGCCACCGTCGAGGATCACGGTGACCGCGCCATGTATACCGCCACCACCACCACCGCTTCCTCATCGTCCCGCACCCACACATCAGAGACTGGCACCGCCGCCGCCACCGCCACCGACGCCTCCTACCAGAAGTCTATCGGTTCGCAACGGCGGCGCTCAAGCTGGTTCTGTCGACCTGGAAACGCGATTTGCTGATATGTTTCATACCGTGTCGAGTTTTCCTGAATACGTGCATGTTGCCAAAGTTTATTACTACAATCCCTCGTGGGATGCATATATAACTCATACGCATATTTTAATAAATATACAAAACATGATGCATCATACACGACATTATTTGTTTATATTATTTTTCAAGGTTCTTTCAAAGCATTAACTTCCATTGAACGCTGCTTCTCTATCTTCCAGAACAATATAAACATGAAGACACTAAACGCGTATGACACAAACAATTCATATTTGTTTATAACCAGATGATTATATGTATAAAGTAAATTGCATGCTGCTAATTGCACTTTTATGGATATTCATAATGGAATTTATAAATTCGTACATTGATTCGTTCGAAAAGTAATCATAACATTTCAAAAATTACAGCAGCAAAACAACAAGCACCAGCTCCTCCACTTCAACCGTCTTCTACTTCTAGCACACTGCATTCGTTAAATACTTCGTCTGGGAGTAAACAGTGGCAACATAATGCGACTTCTTTGGCATATTAAAATCTGTGCATACTTAAATCATTGCTTCGTGCATTGATTATTGTTTAAACACTTCTTAATGCTGCCACAATAAAATTAAGTGAGCGTGAAAAGGTGTGAATCGGCAGAGTATAAAAAGTTTGAGAGAAAGAGATTCCGAATTCGCGAACCCAGTTATACAATAAAACGTTTTAGACAATATTTTCTGTACAGTTTATCTTAGAAGAAAGAATATATTTAATATAGATTATAATTACACACATACATATATATATGTATATGTATATAAAAAATATATATATGTACGTGTGTGTGTGTGTGTGTGTGTGTGTGTGTGTGTATGTATATATATATACATACATATACATACATATATATAAAAAGAAAAGAATCGTTAACTTTAAGTCTGTTATAATCTTACAAAAATCTGTAAAAGAGATTTAAGCGGAAGGCACATTTATTTTCATTCTAAAAACAACATACTCATTTATTTCTCTTAATCATTGTATTATATTTTTCCTATTTTTATCTTTGTAAACTTAATAAATATCAGATCAAAATTATTAATTCAGAATATACATTGTATCGATGTATGACGATTCATCGGTCATTGAGTTATTTAGACATTAACAAAGGCCAAAATATATAAACATGCAACTTATTTTTCAATACTAATAAACGATTGCACATACATACACAAATAGCAGCAATTCGTTGACTTAAGAATATTGTATATTAATATTGTATAATAAAAATACAATCTTTATATATACATGCAGGATATATGGTACCAGATATATTCTCAAATGAAATAGAACATACTTTTATCTAACAATATTTTTTATTACTTTCTTTATAATGATAATATTAAATGTGTAAATTTTCAAATTCTATTGCATATCAACTGTCATAGTCGAATGGTTTGTTTTAATACAATGCATTTTAAAGAATGATAAATATAAATATCTTTGTAATGACAAATTCTTTGAGAGTTAGATTCTGTAGTTATCAAAAAAGAGAGACGCGTTAAATTAATAAATAAATCGTGCGTATAATTGTCTATATTTGTTTCAGGGAAAAAGGTATTTAAAAAATAAATAAAATACCTTTGACGATGAATGTTTTTTCTTGAAAGAAAGTAAATAATAGCCGCATGATATAATTTTAGTTAAAAGGGGATACTCCTTCAAAACTTTCGTCATATAATGCATTATTATTGTGTGTTGTATGGTATAGGGTTTCTTTTATCAACCTCGGTTAACCAACAGTTACGTGGGGCTCATTTAAACTCAGTTTCACAACTCGTGGTTAATTTTTAACCGAGGTTTAATTTATTTTAAGTAATAATGAGTAATAATGAGTAATAGTTGTGAAACTCGTTCTAAATGAATCCCATGTAACTTAACCAAGATTGGTGAAAGAAACCCATAGAACGTAAGATGATATTAATATCACATTAGACAAAACTTAACTTTTTTTATAATTCAAGTTCCTTTTCAATAATCCTACGATATTCATCGAAACCTTCTTCGATACAGCGAACTGATCCTTCTCCGCAAACCCACAATTCTGTACAAACCATTTGGATTAAACGTTCGTCGTGCGACACCAATATCACACCAGCCTGCAATAATAAAATATTGATTGATTGAACTATACACACACAATTGCAGATATGTGAAATGAAGGATTTTGAAATTGAATCTTATTGACAGTCGTCAATAAAAAATAATAATACTCACTTGGCAGTTGTTGAGGGCTTTACCTAACGCTTCAATCGATTCGATATCGAGATGATTCGTAGGTTCATCAAGCACTAAGAAATTCGGCATTGCGGCACACATCAAGGCGAATGCTACCCTCGACTTCTGCCCTCCCGAAAGAGAATTTATTACTTGTAAAGCTAAATTACCGCTTATACCGAAACTTCCAAGCATTCGCCTATATTCCTCGATTGGTTTACCTATCAGAACGAACACAGTGATAAATTTCTTAAATGGGATCTCGTGTCTGTTTTGTATCGCGGATACGTACCGGGAAAATGTGTTTGTAGCAATTCAACAGGACAAACACGCATGTCCAGTTGATCGACATGATGCTGACTGAAATATCCAAATTTCAGATTTCGATGTACATGCACTGTACCCCGCGTCGAGCTCAACGCGCCTGTGATAATTTTCAAGAGAGTAGTTTTACCAGCACCGTTCTCTCCAACGATACAAATGCGCGATTGCAAACTGGCAGTAAGATTCACATTGCTAAACACCATGTCGGTCCCGTTGTAGCTGTACGAGACTTCATTAAGTTGCAATATCGGAGGACTTAACGGTTCGACATCGGGGAAATTAAGGGTCACTTCGCTCTCCTTCTCCATTGGCTTTAATTCAGGTCTGTCGAATAAGAAAAAATGTAAGATAAATTTCGTAGACTAACGAATTATTAACTGGACGTGCGATCAAATTGTTAGACTTACAATTTCTCTAACATCTTTATCTTGCTTTGTACACTAGATGCGCGATTCGCATTGTATCTAAATCTATCGATAAATTCTTGTACATGCGCTCTCTTCGCCTGTTGAGCCTCATACTCTCGTTGTTGATTTCTCTCGCGTTCGCCTTTCGTTTTCACAAATTGCTCGTAATTGCCACGATACGGCTCTATTTTTTGTCCACGTAAATACAGGATGTCGGTAGGTACCTATTGAAGAAGTAAAGATAAGTATGTATATTTAGTGAAAAAATTGTTTAATCATTACAATTTACAATTTAAAAAAAAATTTTTTTTTAAATAAAGACCTTAATCTTTCATCGATAACATTTAAACCATTGATATTTGATTGTAAATTCTGATAAATAAATTTAAATTTGTAAAAAATAAATAAAATACAATCTGACTTCTATGATGATAGAAACTAGTTAAAAATTTGACCCTAGATTTTTTAATGTAATCTGGAACAATAACAAAATTTGCTCTGTTTTTCGAAAACCTATTGTTGACAAAAAAGTTAAAATTCCATGTTGCGGAGAATTCCATTATTAACATATATCTCTTAGTTAAATATACATCATACTCACAGTGTCTAAAAATTTTCGGTCGTGCGACACTACGAGTAACGTTTTCGGCCATGTTTGTAAATACTTTTCTAACCATAATATTGCTTTGATATCAAGCATGTTCGTCGGTTCGTCAAGTAGCAACAGGTCTGGCTTGGAAAATAGTGCCCTCGCGAGAGCGAGTCTCATCCGCCAGCCACCAGAGAATGCTTTGGTCGGCCAGGATTGCTTCTCAACAGAAAATCCAAGTCCTGATAGGATCGCACTTGCTCTAGCAGGCGCCTTGTCGACCTCAGCTAACTGCATCGCCTCATATACCCGGGCCAATTCCTCACCTAACACATCGCCTGTCTTGGAACCGTCCTTTTCTATCGCTGCTTGCAGTTTCGCCTCTTGACTGAGTAACGTGCTTCGTTCATGATCGCATTCCAGAACGGACTCGAGCGCGGACGTGTCATCGCCGGCTACTTCCTGTTCGACGTGCAATATTCGCACGTGCGATGGTATTCTCAGCTGCTTGCTAAAATCAATCGGGACTAATATGCAATAATTAGAGATATCATTTCCCAGAAAATAAGTTGAAGTTATTTGACATTAAAATGATTAACACATTTAACGTTTTTAATATGACATCTGCTTGTTTGCTGGGAAACGACTAGTAATGACATATCGCCATAATACCTTGATATCATTCGAAGCAAGGTGGTTTTGCCAAGTCCGTTTCTACCAATCAGACCATATCGTCTGCCAAATGCAAGCGTCAAGTCAGCACCTTGCAACAAGACTCTATCGCCATAAGCGACATCAAAGTTCTCTATTCTGATATCTTGGGTTTTGTTCATCCCACCTTTTGTCTCCATCCGACTATCTTTCTTACTTGTCATTTGACTGGCACTGGCGGCGCTTTCAGCTGCATTATTGGCAATGTTAATACGGGAAGCCGATCCTTGCTCATTTACGATTCGTTTTTCCTGTTTTTGTTGCAACTTGGCCTCGGCTTTCTCCAGCTTCTTAGCGTCTACTTTCTGTCATAATAAGCAATATTAACATATAAATAACGCCTAGAAATAATCCTCCGTTCAGCTCAAATTCTTTTACTGTTACAAAAATTTTTTTTTAAATATGAAATAATTCAAGCTCTCTTTTCAACATTATTATTACATTACCAAATAGTTTTTTAACAAGATATTTGAAGAAAGAAATTCTGCCCTCCGCCCTCTTTATTTTGGAAACTTGAGAAGTGAATTTCACTTGTGCCGAAAGAAATCCAAAGATTGTAGACGAAGTTACATGTAAAATTAATGAGATGACACAAGTAACATCATCTTTGTTACTTAATGAATATTTAAAAAAAATGTCAATGACTGTCAATTTGTGTCACTAAATGGAAAGCACCCAGTAATATATAAATAGATAAAAATAAATAAAAGATGAGGACAATCTATGCAAGTAGCATGATATATTCTTTATTTAAAATAAATGAAATACAACTATACATTACCATTACATCGTCCCTAGTTGTAACCCATATACTCTTAATCTGCTCAACTTGCGCCTCTAAGGTAGCAGCTAATGAGCCCAAGTGCACCGGAGCATTTAATACTTTGTTAACGCCATTTTTTCTCCTGTCTATGTCATCATCATCATTGTTTGAACTACCTTTCAATATTTCTAATAGCCTCACGCATATTTGTCTGTAAATAGAGAACAGGATATAATGAATCAATCTACCAAGAAGCAATAAATCTTACAATCTTTTTTAATACAGCGAATGAAGAAAAACATGCTAAAACTTCCAAATATAAGAACAATATTGTTGATTAGTATTAATTATGGTAAATTCGGTCACTCGCACTACACTGGATTAGAATTAAAGACTGCTTTATATAAAGTATTTAAAAGATGTGAATCAAGATTGAATTAAATCATTGAAACATGACTTGTAATTAATAATTATTGTTAGGTTGAATTTTAATATGCAGATAATAAAGAAATTTCTGTCAGAAAAACAATGTGATATAAAATCAATTCTAATTTCGAATCTTACTTGATTCAATTAAATTAATATTCGAATAATTCATACATATCTTTAGTATCCAAAGTTACATAAACTGACATAAAATATTTGCAGTAATATAATCCACTTTG